GCCAGTCCTTCACTGTTTCAGGGCATCCCCCCGGGCCCGTGGGCCGGATCTGGCCCATGGGCCTTGAATTTGACACCCCTGCACTACAGTATCAAGGTGCTATGAAACGGTATGACCATGTAGAAATGGGGACAATTGCTATCCTGTCCCACTGCTTCCCCTGCATTTTTCTTCTTTGCCCCCAATATCAGATCCGTATTGCTTTCATGAGTGGTTCTGCCCCAGGTCTCTTATCTCATGCATACTGCTACCACACCAGAGGTAGCATTCAGCAGGTTCTGACCAGTTCTGGAGAACCCGTAGTGGAAATTTTGAGTAGTTCGGAGAACTGGCCAATACCCCCTCTGACTGGCCCCGCCCCCATCTATTCTCTGCCTCCCGAGTCCCAGCTGATTGGCTGGGTCTTCTTTGCCCTGCACAGGAGAACGGAGCTGGAAAGCAGGTTAGCGGGGGTGGGATTGCACACACATGCATAGGGGCGTGGGGTGTGTGCATTGCCTTCTGGGTGATGCAACATGAACGCAAGCGTGCAAGTGTGCCCACAATTTTTGGTACAGGAGCCTAAAAAGGTTAGCCACCACTGCCTTATACCATTTCAGAGAAATGGTTGTCCAATCTCTTCTTAAAAACTTCCCACAACTTCTGAAGGCAAATCGTTCCACTGATTAATTGTTCTGTCAGGACATTTCTTAGTTCTAGGTTGGCTCTCTCCTGGATTAGGTTCCATCCATTGCTTTTTGTCCTGCCTTCAGAGGTTTGGGAGGTCAACCCCATCTTCCTTATGGCAGTCCCTCAGATATTGGAACACTACTATCATGACACCCTTTGTCCTTCTTTTCATTAAACTAGACATACCCAATTCTTGCAACCTTATTAAAGCAGAATGTTGTAAACGAAGTATTTCATTGCTGACATTATGAGTTTCACTAACAATTTAGAAGTGCTTTAACTAGAAAAGTAAGCTGCACTTTCATAATGATCTAGTCAGGGGTGTCAAACTCACATTGTCATGCTGGCGTCATGCGACATATTGGGACTCCCCCCCCCCTTTGCTAAACAGGGCATGGTGGGATTCAAATTTTTTTACTACCTGTTCTGTGGGCGTGGCTTGGTAGGCGTGGCATGACTTGGTGGGCATGGCAGGGAAAGGTTACTGCAAAATCCCATTCCCTCCCCACCCCACTAACCTGCTTTCCAGCTCCGTTCTCCTGTGCAGGGCACAAAGGAAGACCCAGCCGATCAGCTGGGACTCGGGAGGCAGAGAATAGGTGGGGCAGGGCCAGTCAGAGGTGGCATTTGCCGGTTCTCCGAACCACTCAAAATTTCCCTACCGGTTCTCCAGAACTGATCAGAACCTGCTGAATACCATCTCTGGCATGTGCGTGGCCATTGTGACGCATCTGGCCTGAAGACCGCGAGTTTGATAGCCCCGATATCTAGTGGTAGAATGATGAGAGCTAACTAGTTGTCGTTGTCTTCTAAATGTGCCAGTGTATAAGAACTTGTCTAAAAGAAGCTGTTTGGAGAAGCATAATTAATTGAAGCTATTCAGACCTTGCCACATGGGGTCAATTTGCTTTATGCGATACCATTGAGTCATAATAAAATTTAGATCATTGTTGCCAAGTGAATGGATGCATCCTCTTAAGGCCTCCCCAATTTGAATTGCAGTACCGTATCGGGGAATATTCAACCCTTGTTTTATGAGGACTTCTAATTTATACGTCTTCAAAGCGGTGTTTGCAATTGAAATTATTTGGCAGTTTTTAACAGTCCCTCTACAGAAATTGCTGCAGTCTAATTCCCTTCTCTGTCTGGTGAACAGAACTGAAGCATTGTGGATAGACTTTGTCAAGAGTTACCATGCCCCTGAAAGAAGACAAATCTTCAAACATGTAGAAAAGTACGAGGCAGACTCCCCAAAGGTTTTGAGCTATAGCAGCCCCAACACTAAGAGACCAATTCTTATCTTGCCAGAAACTTCCACCTTAAGTACCCAGCAGTTTGAACCCAAGTTACCCAGATTGTGATTTGGGAATTAGGGCACCGTTTGGGAAAAACACACTCCAATACAAGGTCAGGAGGTTGCACAATGCAGTGTTGCCATGACATCTCAGAAAGCTGTTAAGTCTTGACAGGAGAGGAAATCGGCTGCGTGGAGTATTTAAACCAAATTAGATTGCTGGGGACAATTTTTCTGTTTTGCTTTGTCCTGGTGGTTGTCAATCCTGTAGGTCAGGGGTGTCAAACTCACGACCCATGGGCCAGGTGCATCACGTGCTTCCTCCCTCCTTCTGGTTTAGTGAAAGGGGGGAAAGTCCTGATGTGTCATGTGACGTCTCCAGGATATGAGTTTGACACCCTTGCTGTAGGTCCTTAGTCTGTTATTTGACCATCCATTTAGTTTAGTGTGTTGTCTCAGCTTGTGATTTCTGCTGCACCCTGTGATTGATGTAGCAGATCCTAAAACAAACATGAGTGATTCCCTGCTGTCATTTCTTTACATTCATCAGCTTGTCTCAATACAATATTTAATTGAATAACTAGCCTTAATAGCCTGGCAACATTAAGCAAACATCCTAACTCTGCTGCTATCAGTAACTCTTTGGCAACTCGACAGCATGTTGTTTTATAGAATGAACAAAGTTTTAAAAAATACGTGGTTATAGAAGAGTTGGTGATGGACGAGATATGTCATCTGAGGTGCATTAGGAATCCAGGAAAAAATGTGGAACTCAATCATGATCGGTCCCAGCAAGCATCTCTACTGTGAGGGATGGTGGGAGCTACAACCCAACAATATCTGAAGGTTGCATATGCAATTTATCCTACAATACCAAGAGCGGCCATTTAGAATGTATTCGTAAAAAATATCCCCACAGTACTTTAAAAAAAAGGGGGGAGTTGTAAAGTTTTGACCTTTAAGTGGCGACTGACAAAGTTTTAGTTCTGGTTTATATGTTGAGTGGACCTCATCATTATAGTGCACAGGTGGTCCCAATTTAAACCGAAGTATTGTAACAAAGTCACTAAAATCTTGAATATATCAAACAATATGGCAGGTTACCACCTGCCAGAGATACCAAGGGCACAAGAGGAGGCAGGACTGGCAAACACAATCCTTCAGTGGCAAAACGACAGGAATGTGGGCTTGGCATCAGAACTCCTCCAAAAGTGCAGGGAAGGAGGGGATTCATGTAATCACAACTATCTCATAACGAGAATATCACACCCTCCCCTACTTACCCATTTTTATTTTTATTTTTCCTTCTCCCCCATAAGTCCTCACTTTCAATTTTATACTATATTGGATGGTTCCTAGTGTTGATTATTTAATCCTTACCATTGCCTCGGGAACTATAAATACTGTAGATATACCAGATGGCCCCTGCAAAACCACCTCGCTTTTCACTGCGGGGTAGATCTATTGTTAAAAGTTGCCTCAGTCATCAAGGCAGCGTTTACATTTTACACTCTTACATTTAAGAGAAGAATTGTGAACATTTGTGACTAAGAATTTTGAGAAAGATGGCCCGTTTTCTCTCTGCCTATGCTAAAATTCTACACCCGTGGTTGGAAAGCACGGGATTCAAAGAGCACCGGCACAGCAGGTTTTCTCTCACCCTTATCGAATCTATTGCACGCACCTCACCTGATAGGCTGGAATATTAAATACTGTAGAAGCCGTAAAATTACTGTAGCACTCAAAAATATAATCTCACGTGTACTTGTTTCAGGAATGAAAAAAAATACAAAGCAAGCTCTAACTTTATTTTCAAACAATTGCCTGGAATGGCACTGAAAATAGAACGAGAACATTTGTACAGTTAGAACAGCATCCATTTTAAAAGGTACAAAATCTCTATAGAAGATTGCAAATAATCTACAGCTATTACTTGACAATGGTGAACACAAAATTTCCACGTGAATAGTGTCAATGATTGCAAAACTTTGATTTGATACCACCGTTACAGAAATTCAAAGATAACGCAAAAGCCATTTTAAAGGAGATAAATATAATGGCATAATTATAGAGGGAGGTGCAGGATGACACAAATAACTGAAATGTTTTACAGATGCATTGTTGACTCCAGGCTAAAAACTATCTTTCTTAGCAAGAGTACAGCTTACTGCAATATTCAGCAAAATGACTTCTTACATTTTAGTTGTGAGACCGAACTCTGATGTGATGCAAATATATCCTCCTCTTACCAAGATCATACAACTGCATCATGCTATTCGATATACCAAGAAATGGCAACATGGGGAACTCTTGTAACAAATGCACCCACTCGCTAGGTTAATCGTGAAGCGCTACCCGGACTTAATTCTATTTCCTTTGGCAGCAGAACACATCCAACAGCTCACTATAGCAAGGCTTTTATGATTCATCCACAATGTATAATGAGATGTCTACGCAGAAAGAAAATGTTGAAATCTGCAAAACATGGCGATAACCAAGCCAGTAAACCAAGACCATTATCTACAAATGCTAACCTTGACGTTTCCTTGCAATGTACAAATTATAAATGGATAGAAAACAGCAGCCGCTGTATTTTAAAAACATATAAAGGAATGATTTGCCACAGTTCCTGTTTATCTAATACCACTTGCAGAGTTGGAGGAGAGCGAGAGATCTGCTGATGCTATTCAACCGGCATGTAATTATTACAATATGAGAAGCTGCTTCACTTTAACAGCTTCCCACCACATCCAAGATTCTATTTTCAGGCAGTAACCACAGTGCAGTAAAGCAGAGGAAGCATCCACTCAGGCATTTATTTCTTGGATTCTTCACCTGCTCTTGGGATTCTAGGTGATAACAATGAGCCAGTTGCAAATGCCCCCCCCCCCATTTACCTTTCTAGAAGATCTATGCTTCATTGGGAAAATGGCAACTCCATAAAATCACCTGTATTCTTTTGAAGATTACATCAAGAACAGCTGTCCCCAATCTTTCTTGGACCAGTTTCGTGGAGGTCAATTTTTCCATGAACCCAGGGGGAGGGGTGTTTCACACACAACCTAGATCCCACACATGCACCGATAAAGTTTCTCTCACTCACCCACCACTTGCACGGATTGGTATGCCTGAGGGTTGGGGACCCTTGGTCAAGAGGATAAACCACTCACTCGGAAGAGTATGTTTTATTACCATAGAGTATAATCTTTACTATGAACACATTCTTCTCGTTTGCATTCAAATTATTTATCAAACTTCCGAAGAAATATACAAATGTTTATACATACTTTTTGACAGCCACCAATTCATGGCTTCCTGGTTTCTTAGGCATTTACAATTTCACAAGATGCAGTTCTGCCCTGTTTATAATCATTACATGAAAGGTGATTGTTTCCTTTTATCCATCCTAAGACCGTAACCCCAAATAGAAAAAAAAAAGACTATCATCCACATGTAAAAGAATGACACCTCTAACAATTACTGTACAACCTGTATACTTATTTATTTCAAACTACACATTAAAGGTCAAAAATGATACATTAGCAGGCAGAAATATGGAAAATCAATGACAGCCTTGCTCTCACAGCAATTCTACGTAGGTGAAGTTAAGCATGGGAGTTTTCATCCACAGCCGGCATTCAGATGGCCATGGTGCACTGCAAGAACTGAAAAACAAAAACAAATTTAATAGAGTTGGGGGGGGCGGGGGGGAGGCTTGCAGTTGAGCATGGGAACAGATGAAAAGAGCAAAACAGAACAAAGTAACCAAAAAAAAAAAAACCCACAGCAAAATATCTGAGTTCAATTTAGATTGTCTCATAAAGTAAAAAAGTAGTTGAAGCCCCAACATCCTACTCAGTTTTCTAAAATGCACACGTGCAATTTGAACAAATTTCATTAAAAATAAACCAAGAATGTACATGGCTCTCAAATTCTATTAAACATTGTTGTTTTTGCTTTATCTTAAGTGCATCCATAATTTGCTCTTTATAATGTCTTTGAAAGTTGAAAACTTCACATGATAATAGCTTATGGTCATTACAGCTTGCCTCACTCCTGTTCAAAATTGAAATTGAGAAAATATAATTCAACGATCATTAAAATCAATATTTATTTATAACTACAGGTAGTTATCGACTTACAACATTTAATGACCACTTGAAGTCACAAAGGCACTGAAGCGGCATATGAGCGTATTTTATACTTGTAACCACTACATCATCCCCTTGGTCATGTGATCAGATTCTTGGCAACTGACTCATATTTATGACATTTGCAGTGTCCATCCCGGGGTCACATGTTCACATTCACTTAACAAGCATGTTACTAATTTAACAACTGAAGTGAATCACTTAACAAATGTGGCAAGGTCATAAAATGGGGCAAAATTCATTTAACTGTCTCATTTAGCAACAGAAATTTTGGGCTCGATTATGGTCGTAAGTCAAGGACTATCTGTATATGTATGTCATCTAGTCATTCTAGGCAATTCATAATTATAAAACCAAAATACAAACCAATTAAAAGCCCTCAAAATCTTCTCCACTGTTGTCGTTTGATGTCACTATTTACACACATCCCTGAACAAAATTAGATTACGGTAATTTTCTTCAGCACTACAGATTAATTTATGTGGTAAAGCAAGTAACAACTTGTCAAAAATCATACAGTAAAAGCCTAGCCTCACACACTAATTTTCTCAGCTGAGACTCTATTTGCATATAGCAATAGCACTTAAGACTTCTATACCGCTTCACAGTGCTTTTACAGCCCTCTCTAAGCGGTTAACACTCAGCGTATTGCCCCCAACAATCTGAGTCTGCATTTTACCCATCTCAGAAGGATGGAAGGCTGAGTCCACCTTGAGCCTGGTGAGATTTGAACTGCCAAATTGTAGGCAGCTGGTAGTCAGAAGCAGCCTGCAGTACTACATTCTAACCACTGCGCCACTGTGGCTCTTATGCTGCTGTTGCTGCTTCTAGGTTGAAAGGATTCACCGATAGCATCACTGTTACCCAGGGAATGTTCGATTGGGGGCTCCTTTCATGTACCCGTTAATGTGCCCACCAAAGCGGTACCTATCTAGGTACTTGCGATTACTCACTTGTAAACTGCTAGATCGAGAAGAGTTGGAGCAAATGACAGGAGCTTACCCTGCCATGCAGCAACACTCGGGTCTTGAAGGCAAGCTTGTTCATTGTCAACCCAGTGTCCTAAGCACCACGCTCCTACTGCACTATTTGCATATATATCTATCAAATAATTAAAAACTAAAAGAAATTCTGCAACTTGTGCAAAATATTTCAGAGAAAAAATAACTTTGTATATATGCAAGCTTTACTCATGACTATTTTGATTCAATGTCATGTTTCCATGTAAATAGTCTTTCACTAGCATTTCCATATATCTTGTTTTTGTAGGCTGATTATCTGAGACAAGATATCAAACTTTGCTAATCAAATTAAAAATGAAACTATTATTTACTTTTAAGTGCAGTTTTTCAAGTGGTCACCTAAGTTCATAGACATTATTTAAAGCCTTCCATGTAGCCCCGAGATTCTTCAGAGCTTGCATAAATACATGGTAGGAATTGTTTGGCATATGACTAAATGAAGAACCCTCACTTCCTAAAACTGATACAACAAATCCAAAAAAGAGGGGAGTTGGGGGAAGATTCATGTAGCCACCGGGATAACACTGATATGCGAATATCCCACTGAAAGTCTATTAAAGCTACTATTGTGCTTTTGAAGTATGGAGAAAGTGGCCTGACTCTTTCACCAACACATACAAAGGTAGATAATACCCATTTGCCATGAGGAGCAACAGTGGGCAGAAAGGCTGTGTGCTTCCTAGATGAACCTTGGAAAGCCAAGAATCAATCATGACCCTGCCAAATGCAAAAGCATCATGTGAAATCAAAGAATGAAATAGCGTTTCATTAACAGCACTAAGCAATATCTCTGGATTCAAAAGGAAGGTCCAAATTGGCTTCAGAAATAAAGATATAACTGGGATGATGACTATGAAATATCAGGGACTCAGTTCTCCAATTTGACAAGCTACTAAAGAGTAGGAATAGGTAAGAACAAAACCAAACAGAGCTAACAAGTGAAAATAGTACTCTTTATTACTATACAAATGTATTTATAAAACTCTGTAACAGAGAGAGAGAGAGAGAGAGAGAGAGAGAGAGAATATATAGAGAGCGGGGGAAGGAGAGAGAGAGGATACAGATAGCCTCGACTTACAACCTCAATTGAGCCCAACATTTTGGTTGTTAAGTGAGAATTTTGTTAAGTGATTTTTCCCCATTTTACGACCTTGCCAAAGTTGTTAAGTGAATCACCACACAAGATAGTAACCCGGTTGTTAAGAGAATCCGGCTTCCCCGTTGATTTTGCTTGATAAAAGGTTGCAAAAGGGGGATAACATGACCTTGGGACACAGCAACGGTCATAAGTATGAACCAGTTGTCAAGCATCTGAGTTTTGATCATGGGGATGCTAAAAATGTTGTGTGAAAAACAGTCACAAGTCACTTTTTTCAGGGCTGTTATAACTCTGAATGGTCACTAAATGAACTGTTTTAAGTCAAGGTTACTACCTATCTACTATTAAGTCCTAGCTTAATCTAATACTGACAACCACATGATTTAATTTTCCGCTGTTTTGCTTTTAATACAGAAATATTTTACTGCTAGTTGTTTTCCTCCTCTTCCCACATTTACTGTCTTCAACAGGGACTTAAGAATGCCAACAGCTTCTTTCCTTAACATTTACTTGCCCGTCTCTCAGGGCCTAAACCATGTAGAGTTTTCTCTGCTGCTGTCTAGAGTCCAGGGTTGTATTTTTTTTTCTTTTCTGCAGGCTCTTCTTTGATTTCAGCTGCCTCAGGCTCCTTCCTGATTCTTCTCCCTGACCATGGATTCTCTGGCTTCTGGCTCTCCCAGCCATTGCCTCTTCTATCACACACCTTCTTATTCCAGCAACTTCTCCTGCCAAACCTGGAGAAATTACTCTATATCCCATCACCCTTCTGTGGCTTCTTTTCTACTTCTTTCATTTGAAACCTATGTGCCAGCTCGCAGGTGATTCTACAGAGTTTTAAACTGGTTTTTCCCCCCCTTCTCTAAAAGTGCCTACAAGCTGGGAAGCTGACAGATCACTATGGAGGGAAAAAAAACCTCTGATCTTGACAGTCGCACATAACATTTTCTGTTTCAGTGCACTTTATCTTTCTACATAAGCCAAAGTCAGACTGAGAAAACAGAGCAGTGTCCATGAGATGGAAGTAGTTCTAGGTTCAGAGTCTGTTGATTTTATCAAAAAGAAAAAAAAAAGAGATGCTCCAGGTCCAAAGCAGGCGGCTTTTCATGACGCTTTATCAGCTGGTTACAGCAAAGAAGGAATACCACCCAAGGAAAAGGAGAGACTGGCTACCGGGCCACATGATGAGTTTAAGTTTGCAAACCTTTTAGTTTTGCAGTAGTGGGACCAGAGAGATCAGAGCTTCATCTAAGTTCTATTAATGAAAATCTGATTAAATAGCACACAAAACAATATAGTACAATATCTATATTGTACATGCATTTAATAAAGACAGTAATTGTTAGCTCAAACTATGTAAAGCCTAGAATAACTGGTTCTCTTAAGGGTACGAGGCTGATGCTTTCCCCTAAGAACAGACACACTAATTCGCACCACTGAAGTCTGCTCTTCATGACACGTATTATTAGTGAAAGTGAATCATGCCCTGATTTAACAGATCTCTACAGACAAGGCTACAAATCTAAGGGTTTTAGGGGCCATCAGTCCGTGGATAGGCAGATAGTATATAAATAGAGAAAATCCAATTAACATTGCTAGTCTTCCAAGAATCAATTGTCCAAAACAAATAAAATCAGCTGCAGCAAGAGGCACAAAGAATTCCTGGGTAACAGCAAATTCTTTGCAAACCACTACTGCATTGTCTGAGGAAATGAGGAAAAAAGGATGGAATGGTATAGCATTAATGGAATAGCAGATATGTATGAATCTTCTGTCAACAGGGAGAATTTGATTGATTTCTCAAAGACAGGACAGTCATCAGACAATTTCTGGAACATATTAGGAGGAATGGAAGAAATGAGAGAGCTTCCTCCCAAAGACTGGCCTGCCAACTAGAAGAATGATGGCAAAGCCAACAAACACTGTTTATGCCTAGTCAAGGGCACCCACAACACTGGCATTCATTAAATGGGGCCCTTAGGTTCAGAAAACCAAGCTAACAACTGTAAGTTAAGGGGATTAATAAGCAAAGGGAAAAATAAACAACTATGATAAAAGGAAAAAAAATAGTCAAGGACAAATAATTTAAAACTGTAGTGGTTGAAAACCAATGGAAAAATGAGATGGGAGTCACACCATGTTCTGTGATACAAATGGGGAGGAACAGACCAAAACAATCTGTAAGCTCTGGAAGGTACCAAATAAAATCCTGCACAAGCAAATAAATAATGAACATGAAAAATCAAAAACCCAGTGAGGAATTAAAGGAACTGTCATCTGTTTGAGATCTTAAGAGGAGCTACAGCACTATCCTGAGATGTAATTTCCTAAAATATTCTAGAGTATAATGGGAGTGAGATTATAAAAGGAAATGTAAGAAACACAATTCTAGTTAAAACCATTTTTTAATTACCAATTAACGGTATTTTTACTTACATCATCATACAGAAGATTCACAATGCCCTGTTGCATGCTGTCTCTTCTTCTGAAGAAATCTTAAAAAAAAAAGATTTGCAAATTTACATTATAAAAATCCGGAACTGGTCTATATATACACACAAAATATCTATGAGGTATATTTTAAAATAGTAAAGAACCACAATATATAATATAATTTGTCTTTTAAATTAACAACATTCCATTATGTGTTCATTTCTACAGTCATCAGATGATAGCACACTCTATAAAATCACCAGCAATATAATGGAATTACACCAGACTCCAGATAAGGCCACAGATGCTTGGCACTCTATGTAAAATCTTTTGCCATATTCACTGCATTGTAAGGCTAAAGTAATCTGAAGAATAATGTTTGCCATCTTGTCAAAAGTACAAGTCAAAGCATTGGGACTTTGAAATGAGGCTTGATTTTTAATCTGACAACTGTTTGAGGGTACTCCCACTTTCAGTATGAAAAAGCCTTTGGAATTACACATAATGGCTAAAGAAATTTGCTGCAAGAAAAAAAATAGGATAAATTTTCAGAGCTTTTTCTAGGCAAATATGTTCTACTTATGCAAACTGGTCTATATCCAAGCAATGAATGCTTGCTTTGTAAAATCAGAATACATTATATAAATCCAACACTTACCTGTTAAAGCACGAAGCTTCACACAGCAAGCCACATAATCATCAAAAGAAATCCTGCCATTCTTGCTGTAACGTTTTACAATAGCAATTAAAGTCTGTGGGCTTAGTCTGTATCCTAGATAAGCAGTTAGAAAGAAAAACACACTTTCAGGACAGAAAGCTTAGGAGAATTTTTCCAATATTTGGGTATTCATAAATAATTTACAGTAGTCAACCAATCTGAGATAGAAGTTCAACAGGGATAGAGTGAATAAAGTACAGCAAGTTAAGATGATTTGTTAAGACTACCTCTTAAGAATACTATATTGCTCTATTGTGCAATTACAAAAGACTAACTTTCCCAGATGTAGGAAAGGGAATACAGTCCATAAATTTCTACCCTAAATTAGATAACCAGCATTAGATTTGAATGCAGAAAAATCTGGTCTACCTGTTTAAGTTAGATTTCTAAATCAGAAAAGCTTTACTTACCCATAGCTACAATCACTTGAGTCAGCACATGAAATTCCACAGTTCCACTTCGGTCTTGATCAACCAACATGAAATTGTGTTTCCAAGCACTGAGAGCTGTCCAAAGTTCTTTAAATTCATTATATCCCATTTTTCCAGTATTCTGTCTCTAATGTTATGTGTTAAGAAGCATACCAGCTTGTGGATAGGTGATTAAAAGAATAAAAATATAAATGTTTTACTTGTATGGATTCTGTTACTGTTCTGCACACTTGTGCTGCAATTTTGCTCATGTTTTAAACAGTTAAGTCATAAAGATCATTTAGCCAAAAAATACCCCATGTTCTTCTTACTTTGCTCTTTTAGAAAACATCACCTTATCAATCTAAACCTTTTAACACTGGTATTTGGACAATTCTCAAATTAAGCTTGACTTTGGTGACAATAGTAATACCTCTATCTAATTTTCTTAAGCAATATTATGGAAGTAATTTGCCAGTGCCTTCCCTTAGGATGTATTTTTCAATTCCAGAATCTCACTTACAGCCCTAGGATTTTGTTACAGTCATGCATTTAAGTACTAACCAGTCTTGAGAGCATCAAAGGATAGCTTAATGTTGCCACCTGCTGGGCATATACAAGATGTTACAGTACAGTACAAAAATTATTTGGGGCGCCTACTTGCACTTCAATTGATGTAAATAAAAGTCCTTCCTTTAAAAGAGGAATTGTAACAACAAAGACAACAAAACCCTGGGAATCTATCTATTATTTATGAGCTGGAAGCAATCTGAATTGGAACAGAGCTTTCCTACATATTTATTTTAAAATCGATGTGAGGTAGCTCAGATTTCACATTTAACAAATGCAGAAATATATTTTGTTATACAACTTCTAAGCATTTTACAGAGTCCCTGAAAATCAGGATAGACAACTTATAGCTTTCAATGTGAATCTAAGCCCTTTTTGCAGCCTATTGCACACCCCAAAATTGGGCCACTGAAGTTTAGTGGAAAAATAACTGAATGTGTAACATAATTTCCATTTGTTTTGATAAAATAAGAAAAATTTTCAAAGCCCCCTTTGAACTTCATGCATCCATCTGGTAAAAGCCATAGTCCCACAAAATTAGAAGAGGTCATAATTTCCAGCCTGACCACTGTGAGAGTATCACTGCATCATGAATGTGTAAAAACACTAAGACATTTTTCTACTTTGTTTAGCTCTTTTGACAACTGATCACTGTTTCATGATTGCCCTGTAACATGACATTCCTTCTTAGCTGTTTTCTGCATTGTGGTCAGTGAGCTGTAAATAAAAGACTGATTGTAGTCTAAACTGGGACAAGTACAGATCAATCTTTAATGGGACCAGTTAAGAATATATGCAACCAGAAAACCTAGCTGCATAGATTTTAATCATTAAATGAACCAATTAAATATTCTTACGTTTATAATCCTTAGTAAAAAATCAGACTGATCCTGTCATTTCTGTTCCTTTATATACAGAATTACAGTCTCCATCAGATGACCTGCACCTCAGACAACAAACAAAAATGAATTCTAAATTTGACCCATAGTTATAGTTTTAAATTTTATGACACACTGCCCAACTTAGAATAACTCAATCTGAAGACTGGCATCAGACATACTTTGTCACATATAAATCTTGGTAAATTTCTAAAGCAGGCAATTGTGGTTCCAGCTAAGCAGGATGAAGATAAAGAAGAGACTTTGGTATACTGTAAAAGTTTGCACAAATTATTCCACTTGCTCCGTGATTCAAACTTTCTTAATACATACTCTCACCTGCATTACATATTGATGTTTTTCAAGAGACAAGTGAAAAACTGGAGAAATAAGCTCCATTAAATTCAGTAGAACTAACTTTTAAAAAAGACACCCAGAAACAGACCATTTCAGCTACTTATTTTTAAAAGGATACATCCAACATCGATATCATAATTCTGCAGGTCTCCAAACTGAATGCTGAAATTGCAAACAAAGTATTAATTCTAAAGCACCAGATCCATTTCAGTTGTAATTATGAGTGCTTAAAAACAGGAACCGCAAATCTCATTTAAAGGATTACCATTCAAACTTACTGAATGTAGCAATCAACTTGTTGAGAACAGAGCACCAATTGAAAATTTTCAGCTGGACTTAAGGCTCTGTTCACAGAGATTTCCTAGGTGGAATGGTAGTTAAGAGGTGATAGGTGACATTTGAAAGCCAAGTCAAGAATGATACTACAAGGAGGGGCAAACAGTCAGTTACCTTTCATGTACTACACAAAGAGATAAAAATTCAGTAGCAGTATTAACAAAGAGGTGAGGTATTCTGTTGCTCAAGAAATAACACTTTGTAATGTCTGAATATAGCTTCTCCCTTTTTCCTCTGCTGGGCATCCCTCGTTCACCACATTGCACAGAATCACCATCCTAGTTTCTTTCTCTTCCCTGTTCCTTCCTCTCACCCTATCTCTATCGTGGTTTGCTTTGCTTTTCATTTGCTCTTTCTGCTTAAAAGAATGGAGAAGGTATATGTGTTTCCATGCATAAAAGTTGGTATATATTAGTTTAAGGGTCTTGTAATGCCATTACAGGAAAATGAACGTAAAGAAAATGTTTAATATTAATTGAATTAACCATGATTAAGTACTGCTGCCAAAGTCACTGGAAGTTGGGTAGCATAAAAAATATTGCTTCTGTTCTGGACCTTCCTTTTTTTAAGAATGAAGCTCCTGAGAGAGATAAACATTAACTTATACAGGTAGTTTTCAACTTAAAAGAGTTTATTTAGTGACCCTTCAAAGTTACAACTGCCCTGAAAAAAGTGACTAACGACCATTTTTCACACTTATGACTGTTGCCGTATTCCCAATGTTACATAATCAAAATTCAGACGCTTGGCAACTGATTCATATTTATGACGGCTGCAGTATCCTGTGGTCACGTGATCCCCTTCTGCGACCTTCTGATCAGTAAAGTCAATGAGGAATTCACTTAACAACTGCAGTGATTTTCACTTAACTGCAGCAAGAATGGTCGTAAAATGGGGCAAAACTCACTTAACAACTGACTTGCTTAGCAACAGAAATGTTGGACTCCACTGTGGTTGCAACTCAAGGACTATCTATACAGGTACACATGCACGTATGAGTGTATCATATGACCTAATTAAGAGGCCATTTTCAAGACTAATTTCTATTACTGCTTGCAATCTTTTGATTAGCAAAGGAAGAGAACCAGTACTTTTTTTTGCCTGCTTGTTTTCCTTTTGATGGGGGAGATCAACTTGGATTTAGTACTACATGCAGTAAGTAAACAACTAATGATCTAAGAGGCAATTTGCAGGTTACATAGAGAACTCAGATTAATTTTTATACCTCTGGGAGGATCCTCCATCAGCTTTGGAGTTTTCAAAGCATACTAATTTATTTTCAACAGAGGTTAAAAGTATGTGTGCACCTTCTCTTTAATACACTTCAAAACTAGGGGGAAATTATTCAACTATTTGGATCCTGCTTGACTTGGAGACATCATTGGGTTATCACTGGCAAAGCATCTGAAGGTAAAAACTATCAACATCCCCCAAATGTGGTCTCTGGATACAAAAATTGACTTCTCCCATTACAGATGAAAAAAGGATCACAAAACAATTACAGGTACATTATTATAAAACAGTCCAGAATAATAAATTCAATAACAATCTTACGAGAATATGTTCCACTGATTCCAGATTGTGATAGACATCTCTGTAGTTCCTCCGCATCCACTTCACCATTCTGTAAAATGAATGCATACAAATTTGAGGTTCAAGGGATTAGCAAAACTGGTAATAGAAAATTAAGTACTCATGCATTCTATACAGTTAACGAACTGTTCTACTTAAATTCAAATAGTTTACTTCACAAATATACCTCAACTATGTATTTGCTATACAGTACTAATTATTTTACATAAGTAAATCGCAATGGACATGTTTTCAAAATCACAAATAAACTATAACTTGCTCATTTGAGACATCTTACAATAGGACAGATCATAAAAACTAGTTTTTACAAATGTTGAACTTAAAAAAAACCCATTTCATGTGCAAGCTTTGCAAATTATGAAACAAACCATTTAAAATAAACAAAAAACTTCTCTCCCTATTTCTCCATTCCAGGCAGATCCTACAGAGTTTCTCAGGTTAGTTCAAATCCAGCTCTATACAAAAATATACAAGACCAACAATTCATAAATTTAAAGTTATCCATGTCAAATTATAAACTACAAACATAAAGCTCATCCAGACAAAATAACCTATATAATGAAAGTCTTTAAATTAATGCGTCAAGCTACCTTAATATCCATGTCAATTTGCTATCTGTTTGAACAACTGCAAATTCTCACATGGGAGAATATTCATTCAAAAAGACATGAAATGCAGCCTTTCAGCTACCGTACCATTGCATTATGATGCATTATCTTGCTAATACAAAAAAGAGCTTATCTTAAAATATATTAAAACATAAAAGTAAGCAATCTAAATATATCCAAATTAATTTACAGCAATGATTTAAAAAAAACTTTGTGAGCTTCGCCAATGAAAGCATAAGGAATGGTGGATATTGAAAATCCTGTTGCTTGATTTGGCCTTAAGCAAAATTCCTTAATCTAACATGGGAATCATGTAATGACTTCTCAGAGGTTTCTCAGAAGTGTTTTTCCAAACTGAATGGGCATATCTTTTTCCCGGCTAGATTAAAAAAAATAGGATCAGGCTGATATAAAGTTCTCCATAGAAAGAAAATATTACTCATATTGACAAAAATTCGGTACATGATATAGCTTTTCTACAAGACCTATGTAATTGGGGTGATTGTTCATAATGATTGTACAAAACACAAATATACTTTTGTAATTACCACCAAAGCAAAAGGATTTTCGCTGGATAAGTTCACAGGGCACAAGGAAAAGATTAAATGAAGCTTGATTTAGACATTTCTGAGTCTCTTTGTCAGTTCAAAATGCAAGAACACTCAGAAACTGTTTCAACTGCCTTTCTTTACCCTCCCCTCCAAAAACAATGCCCATGTTACTGCAAGTTTCTACCTGATCAGTTCTTTTGAGTGTCAAAGGCCCACGCTTCCATCACCCCACTGGTCTTGCTATATGGCAGATGACATTGTGCTTATTTGACTGGTACTTCAGGAGTGAATGTTTATTCCTCCTATAAAAAACTAAATTTACTAAAATATTACAGTTGAAAATTAAGAAAAATATGGAAGTCAGCAATGACGATCCTACTTATGAAAAACTAAAAACACAGAAAAACTCCCTGTTCCAGATAGCTACTTTAAAGCAGTGGTTTTCAAACTATGTTCTGGAAAACTCCCGAATTCCTTAGAAACCTATCATGTAGTCTTCAATATAATCAGTCACATTATCTCCCCCCGCCCCCAAAAATATAGGTTACTGTGCTATCTATGCTATTAAACTTCTCCTGTAGAACTGTAGAAGAAGTTGCAATAGAATGCTGGGGTTATTCTAAGGCTATGCTCTGTTCAATTGTCAGCATTTTACATCTGAGGATGTTAGGCTACATTAAACGGATCTTGTAACTGTATTTAGAATTCTAGCCCATTTATTCAAAATCATACAGGTTGATCCTGAGAACATGTTATTCCAGAACACACTGCACAATCCTTTGCTATGCAGTTGAATTCTACAGCTGATATATAGCATGTTTTTTTAACAAATGTCAGCAAATAAAAACTTCTCTCAAGATACAGAGCTTGAAAACCCTGCTATAAAGCAATGGAAAAAAATGAAAAAGCAATGGTATTTCATGTTTTCCTCACTTGCAAAAATGGATCACCTAGTACAGGTAGTCCTCGACGTACAATTGTTCATTTATGACTGTTCAAAGTTACAACAGCACTGAAAAAAGTTACTTATGACAATTTTTCAGAGTTACAACCTTTGCAGCATCCCCATGGTCATGCGACCAAAATTCAGATGCTTGGCAACTGTTTCATACTTATGACAGTTGCAGTGTCCCAGGGTCATGTGATCCCCCTTTGCAACCTTCTGACAAGCAAAGTTAATGGGGAAGCCAGATTCCCTTAACAACCGTGTTACCAATTCAACAACTGCACCAATTCATTTAACAACTATGGCAAGAAAGTTTGTAAAATGGGGCAAAACTCACTTAACCAATGTCTCATTTAACAACAGAAATTTTGGGCTCAATTGTGATCGTAAGTCGAGGATTACCTATATAAATTTTAGTTGCAGTCAATATTTGAGATGAAATAGTACTAAATATAATTAAGAGCTGTGTGTACTACATAGATTGTTTTATATCTATTTTTAGATATCTATTTTTACAACTATTATTATACAGTACTACCTAGTATATGCCCATAGTAACTTATTTTGGGTAGTAAAAGGATCATTTGTTTATTTTTTAAAACATGTATATGCTATTCCTTATAATTCCAAAAAATTATACTGCTTGGAAAATTATCTCTTCCACCCAAAACCCTATTCTTCTTGGGGCCTTAGTAGCTCAAACTATCAATTTGATTTTGGTTATTATTTGCTAAGTTTGTCTTAACACTTCAAATGAAAATCAAGAGACTGGATTTTGAACCATTTCCAAAAGAGTTTAGTGGAATTCAGAGAAATGCTCAGAATGAGAACATTAATAAAATTACTGCATTCCATTTAAACTATAACAAAGAAATCTGCTTTATGAAGTAGCTGGTCACCTTTCTAGACAAAATTTGTGGTTTATTCCCTACCTGTAGATAAAAGAAGCAATTTATTGACCCACACTTGTACTAGATACTATTTCAAGCAGTTCCTGCTCTAATGAAACAAATGTTTTGAAATTCCTTTCCTGTCATTCCTGTCCTGTATCAGAAGACAGTCTATAGGGGAAGCAAATACTGTGCCATATTTTGACAGTTAAGACTCATTTCTTCTTCCATGTTAGTAAGAACAGCATTTTACAATTGAAATTAGGCATTTCTCTGAGAATGAATATCCAATATGGCCACTCTTTTTCTCTTTAGGCACTCATCCACAGAATCTATTTTTAGATTAGAGAATGAGTTAAAGTATATTCTGGCATCTATTTCCTTTTACAATTTAATCACAAGAAAATACTAGCTTCCATAAACATCATACTTTTTAATTGTTGAACTGCATGTATTTTCCAGCTTTCCACAATTTAAATTTACTTCGCCAGTGTAAGCTTAGAATCACATTCACATAAGCTTAGTGATTTAAATAACTGTCACCATTCTGGCAATAAAATAACTTTCCCTCCCTAAGCTCCCTGGCTATCAGAGAGCAAACAGAATTTAGCACTGGCTGAAATGAATGCTTACTGTTCTTGTCAATCAATAAGCAAATAAAGAATATCCTACACACAAAAAACTATTTTCAATAGACTCTACCATTAAATCCCTTCAAATTAGCTCAGTATCAAAAACTCTCTCTGTGGGTGATAAAATGTTCGGAATCAAAAGATAGTATTTAAGAAGGCAGTTCTTACACTGTCCCTGCCTCAGATCACATGTAATTTCTTTCTCTTCAACTCCTCCAATGGAATATAGCATCAAATGGATTGTGCCAGAAGCATGAATGCTTTTACTGCTAGAAATACCGTATTACTATTGCTATTATTGTGGAGATGCTAACTGTTAAGCAAATGCCTTACTACTACTACTACTATAAGGCATTATTTGTACAGAGTATAAAAATTAAAATGCAAGCAGAAGAATAAATGTAAAGAAAAGCTACTCACCTGAAACTGGAGTTCTTCATGAATATTGCTTTTGCAGTTCCACACTCTTGAGAGAATGCAAATTGCCATCACAACTCCCAAAACGCTCTAGAGACCAATGACCTGTGGGGCCATGCATATGCCCTTTGGTGAATCTTTACTATAACCTTTTAACCAGTCCTTTCGCCCAGGTTATACGTATATGGCTTCTGTATTTCTCAACACCTAGTCACGTATAATGTACAGACCTCTTCCAAACTGAAGCCTGATGAACATTCACTTAAACACCATTTCACTATGTTTTTATTATATAAACCTTGATGTACTGTAGCTATTCTAAGTTGCCAGATATCCCTACAAATAAAATTGGCTGAAGATCATAGTCCAATTAATGAGGTCAAAAATCAGATTTGCAATAGCCTCCCATTCCTCTTACACAGAAAGTACAACTTTTAATTATTTAAAATGTTATCATAGAAAGGTAGCTATATATTGCTTGCCTATTTAAAAGCTGATTATGGATTCCATGCAAACTAACAGATTAGTTGAAGATGAATTTCTCCATTCTTCCTCTCAGTCCTGCTGGATATTATGTTGGTCACAGGTGGGGAAAAAACTTATTTTATTTCCTTTTCTTCTATTGAGCTGTTTAATACCTATAAAACTTTAGAAACAAGCCTAAAATGTAGCAATCTACATGGTAGTAGCTGTAGATGAAAAGCTATCTTGTGTTCTATGGCCAGTCATATAAAAAATTATGGGCAAGCAATTTTATAGGGTCATTTATAAGGGTGCATATCAATAATATTGTCAATATATCCATTGGCAAACAAAACCCTGAGATTATGGGATATTTCTAACACCGATCAGCAGGAAAAAAAAAGTGACTGTCTTTCAAAACTTTACAATTACTCAAACTGACCTACCTGTCCAGCAGTAGCACTGAAGAATGCCCACAAGGGATCGACGGCAGCACCAGCATAGGCACCAGAATAAACAGAATATCCAGTAGATCCATCAGGGGCTACAGTTTGTACCCCTCTAGGGACCGGTTGTCCCACTGCCATTTGCATTGGCATCTGACCATGGTAAGCACCATACTTTTAACAAAAAGAAGAGATACATTTTACTATGTTCATCAGCCTAACACAAGGCATGCACCCCAACTTTGGGAAAACACCTTCTCAAATACTATCATAAAAAGGGCAGTTTTTAAACATTTAAAATCCAGTGAAACATGCTTGAAAGCTGTTTCATTACTATGTAACTATATTGGTTACATAATAATGAAATATAGCTTTTGCAATAGTCAGACCTCACAGAATAGAATAGAATAGAATAGAATAGAATAGAATAGAATAGAATAGAATAGAATAGAATAGAATAGAGTAGAGTAGAGTAGAGTAGAGTAGAGTAGAATAGAATAGAATAGAATAGAATAGAATAGAATAGAATAGAATAGAATAGAATAGGAATTCTTTATTGGCCAAGTGTGGTTGGACACATAAGGAATTTGTCTTGGTACAAATACTCTCAGTATACATAAAAGAAAAGATAATGACAGCCCTGTTTATCAACCATTCTAAATTATGACAACACTGAAAAGGTAACTTTATGACCAGTCCAAATACTTACAACCATTGCAAAATTTCTGCAGTCATGCAATTGAGATTTGAACATTTCACAACCAGCAGATATTTACAACTGTTGCAGTGTCCTGTAGTCACATGATCACCTTTGTGTATTTCACAGCCAGCTTGCAACAAGCAAAGTCAATGGGGGAAGTCAGATTCATTTAACAGCTGCCTTGCTTAGAAATTGAAATTTTGAGCTCACTTGTAGTCATAAGTCAAGGACTACCCATATTTGCCAGTAGATAAAACCAAAGTCTCTTTATTCCATATCTTTTAAATATTAGAGAAGGTGTTGAGCTATTGAAAATGTTTATACTTGTCTTGTTGAAAGGAAGAGTGAATATTTCATGCCATGGGGGTGTTTTTCAGCAGCAGGAACTGGGAGACTGGTCAGACTTGAGGGAAATCTGACTGAAGCGAAGTAGAGAGATATCCGCAATGGAAACCTATTCCACAATGCTCAGGACCTCAGACTGGGCTGAAGGTTCATTTTCCAACATGACAACGATCCTAAGTACACAAGCAAGACAACATAGGAGGCCCTAGGGACAATTCTGTGCATGTATTAGAGTGGCCCAGCCAGAGCCCTGACTTGAATCCTATCCAGGAGGGACCTGAAAATGGCTGTCTACCAATGGTCACCATCCAACCTGACTGAGCTTGAGATGATTTGCAAGGAAGAATGGCAGAAAATCCCCCAATCCAGGTGTACAAAGCTTGTTGCGTCATATCCTTAAAAGACTCAAGGCTGTAATTGCTGCCAAATGTGTTTCAACAAGTACTGAGTGAAGGGTCTGAATACTTAAGTCAGTGTGATGTTTCTATTTTTTCTTTTTAATAATTTGACAGACATTTCTAAAATTCTGTTTTCACTTTGTCATGGGATACTGAGTGTAGAGTAATGAGAAAAAAATGAATTTGAACTGTAGAATCAGGCTGCAACACAACAAAATTGACAAAATCAAAGGGGGTTTGAATGCACCAGATTTTGCCTCTTTTGCCAACCTCCTCTTTTTTTCTCCTTGCTGCATTTTCTATTTTTTTTTCTTGACTATATATATTGCATGTTTATAAGGGGGGGGGGAGATAAAAACCAAAAGCTGTGGTAATCCTGTTAATTCGTTTAACATTAGATGAAGACCCAGATGATACAGCATGTGGCAGCAAATTGGTAACATAACTTTAAAAAAAAAGCTGAATTAATGCTTGGATAGAAGATCACCCAGAAATCCCAGATTTATAAACTACATTAGGAACTTGATAAAACATCTCAGAAAGGAGTATAATTACAAATCGTATACTTTTCCTGCCAAGAACACTGCATGGATTTGTTACCTTGACTCAAAAATACTTCCATTGTTTCCCTTAGCACATAACCAGTTTCCTATATTGTTACTTTCTTGGTTAAATTAAGGGTTTCATGCCACCAAATAACTCTGGTAAATGGCAAATTACTTGCATATTGCTAAGTGTCAATGAAACGAGGCAGGAAAATTGTCTGGAATATGGCAGAGTGGAGAGAAACACCTCACCCAAGGTAGATTTGATTTAAATCAAGTTGATTTAAATCACAATTTAAAACATAATTTAAATCAGGGATCCCCAACCACCGGGCCCCGGACCGGTACCGGTCCGTGGATCATTTTGTACCGGGCCACAAAGAATGAAAGTAGGGCGGGCGCCGCCATCTTGTTTTGACGGCGCTTGAGAAAGTGCTTCTGGGTGAGCTTGTCGGTCGTCGGTTGGAAAGCGGCGTTTGGATGCTGAAGGAATCCTCGCGCCTTAGTTTCGTCGAAGAGGGGGGGGCGGCTTCGAACGAAGAGCCGTCCCGATGGCGGTGGAGTCTCACGTTACTCAGGAGGAGATTAAGAAAGAGCCCAAAAAGCCCATTGACCGCGAGAAGGTACAAAGGAGGAGTTGAAGGTGGTGGGGAAAAGCGGGGGACGGCTGGCTGGCCGGTCGCTTGGCTCGCCTTGCCTTGGTCGTGCGTGCTGATGCCGGTACCGGTCCGTGGATTGTACCGGTCCGTGGTACAAAAAAGGTTGGGGACCACTGATTTAAATCACTAGTAAAAAGGCTTGATTTAAATCAACTCAATTTAAAACATAATTTTTAAGAAGCAACTGTCATCTGTTCCGCAGCAGCTCCTCCACTGACCTGCTGTTGACTCACCAACAGACCCAATCACTTTAATGGGATGGCTGGTGATGCGGCAGTGACATAACAAGGTGAGGGACGTGGCAGGCAGCAGTTGAGTGGATGGCCACTAACAGGCACTGCCATGATGGATCTGAAATGACAGGTGCTCTTTAATATTATATTTATAAGCTGCTTAGAAGGTTTCACTTTCATTTTTACCGCTTGCCCTTCCTCCTCACATTTAGAGCCTGGTGATACAGATGCATTTATCTTCAAACAATCATACAGTTTGTAGTGTACATAGATTTGCAAAACAATGGGATAAAAGAATATTCCTGAACTTTGTTTTATTATTTATCTCATGATTACTGTGAAATTGTGTGAATGCATCACTGCAGTGCATGTTATCTCAGCTTGCAGAGCTTGGATTCATTGAATGAGTTTACCAAAAATGTAAATGTTATATAACTAAGCTCCATTTCATGCTGAATAAGCTAAATTATTAATATATCTTAAATAGAAAACTATCTTTAGATAGATTTTTACTTCAAATGCATTTTATTAAAATAAATTTGATAAAAATCCAATTTAAATCAAATTAAATTTGGTTTAAATTTAAAAATCCAATTTTAATTTTAAAAATCTGATTTTTTAAAAAATTATTATTATCCACCCTGACCTCATCTCACCTTCCCTATTACCTACTTCTACTGGTATGCTATGGCTATCACTTTGTTGGTTATAGAGGTAGTCCATGACTTACTACCACAATTGAGGCCAAAATCATTTTTAAGTGAAAAATTTGTTAAGTCAGTTTTACCCCATTTTATGACCTTTCTTGCCACAATTAAGTGAATTGTTGCAGCTGTTAAGTTAGTAACCTGGCTTCCCCATTCACTTTGCTTGTGAGAAAGTTGCAGAAAGGGATCACATGACCTTGGGAAACATAAATATGAACCAGCTGCCAAGCATCTGAATTTTGATCATATGATGATCATGGGGATTTTGCAAAGGTCATAACTGTGAAAAAATGTTATATATCACATTTTTCAGTGCCATTGTAATTTTGAACAGTCACTAAATGAAATGTTGTAAATTGAGGACTACCTGTACTTTATGATTTATCACTGTGTTGCTTGTATGTATAGTGAAACTTATGCTTTGGGGGAACTTACGCTTTGCGTGTCCACACTTGGCCAATAAAGAATATTCTAATAGGCACAGAAGCGTTTTTAAAAGGTTATTTCCTCAGACAAAAATGAAAAGGCGCTTATCCAGGTACTACTCAACTTATGACCACAATGGAGCCCAACATTTATGTTGCTAAGGGAGAAATTTGTTTTGCCCCACGTTACGACCTTTCTTGCCAGTTAACAACTGCGGTGGTTAAGTTAGTAGCGCAGTTGTTAAGTGAAACTGGCTTTCCTGTTGACTTTGCTCAACAGGTCATAAAAGGCGATCTCACATGACTCCAGAACGCTGCATCCGTCATAAATGTGAGTCAGTCGTCAAGCCTCCAAATGTAAATCACATGACCCGGGGGGGGGGTGTGCTGCAACGGTCATATAAATGTGAAAAACAGGTCATAAGTCACTTTTTTCCAGGGCCGTCGTGACTTCAAACGGTCACTAAAAGAACTGTTGTCAAGTCAAGATACTATCCAGAGAACCCCTTTACTTGCTTGACTGCCTGCAATTTGGCAGTTCAAATCCCACCAGGCTGAAGGTTGACTCAGCCTTCCATCCTTCCGAGGTGGGTAAAATGAGGAGTTGGGGGCAATATGCTGACTCTGTAAACTGCTTAAAGAGGGCTGTAAAAGCATAAGTCTAAGTGCTATTGCCTCCATTACCTTTACACTCTAATGGAGGAAGATGCACGTTTGAACATTCTTCATCGTTAAGTTTGGTCAGTCAGCAAACTGTTTTAAGTCGGGGACCACCTGTGCAGCTTATGTACTACGGTATCTGCAATTTACTCCCAACCTAGCCACCTTCTACAACCCTACTGGGTGGAAATGATATTCTAAGTTCATTCCATTTGGAGGCCGCCATTAACATCTCCCAGTCAAAGACAAGGAGTTGCGGGAAGGAGGGAGGGGAGAGAGAGAAAAAAAGAGGCACTGATTGGGTTTGGGGGTAGAGGGGAAGAAGAGAGAAGACATTTTATAGAACCTGAAGACTGAGGGCGAGGGAACCCAACCGAGGAGACCCACCAACGAAAGGCGTAAAAGCGAAAATATCTTTTGAAAACCAAGACGGGCGACCAGCCTTCCAAACCAAGTACGGAAAGCAGCAGTTCGGCGGGCTCCGCGCCTTCCCGTTTTCTTTACTCACCGCTCCGAACGCCGGATACGTCATGCCGAATTTGCGAGAGACGAACCGTTACAACGGTTACAGCCGACTTCGAAGCTCGGCGGGATTCTAAATCCGCCACAAACGCGTCTAAGTTTTCCCCCCTCAAAGGCCTCAGTCGCCGCCTTCTCTTTCCTTAAGTCGCTCTACGAAGAGGCGGGACTTCCTTCCCCCCCCTTTCGCCCTCTTGTATCGCCTTCCTCTATTGGGTAAGGCGGTCGTCCACTTCCGCTCGGGACATGTTCGCAAAGATGAGGAGGCTGGGAGAGCGGAAGAGGTATACGGCGGGGGGGAGGGGTTAAGAAGGAGGTGCCGCCCATTCCGGAAATGGTCGTTGAGGAAAAAGAGGAAGGCGCGGTTGCAGTTTCGTAAGAGAACGGAAGTCGGCGTGGCTGTATTCTCCTTAAAAGGAAGGGAAGACGCCGGGTGTATTTCCTTGATAAAGAGATGATGCGAGAAAGTTAAGTCGGCTATCGAAATCAGTGATACCAACGAAAGAGAGGAATGATGGATGTCGGTTTTTGACAATAGTATTGCTTATGCTGAGTGCAACGGAACGTCAATCATTCCTCTATAACCTATACTTGTTTACTCATGCATGCTTGACAAACAAAACAATAAATAAATCTTTTCTATCTAGAAATGGATGGATCCTTTATTTTTATTTTTATGATGAACTCAAAAGTCCTCTCTACCTTCCGTCAACAAAGTATTACTATCTTGGTGTCTCAGAATTGTTATCCTTCCATTTTGATTTGATTTGATTAAATCAAAGTTCAATTCCTGTAATACATGCACTTTTGAAAGCTAAACAAATACTGAGATAACACAGACCTTTGCCTAGTTCCTGTTTCTATTATGAACCAGTGTTTCTCCATTTTTGGTTATTGCAGTAAGGACTTTGTTGTTGTTCACTGTAAAGATCCTTTAAAAAAATCAGTGTACTTGCACACCAATTAGCTAGTGTAAGGGTAATAAATATAGGAAAGAAGTAAAATGTATTATAGCATTATGTAGAAGTATTTATCACTCTATGGGCATGTCTTGATGATAGGTAGTTGTTTTCTTATATATGTAGAAGTATTTATCTCAATAGGCATTTCTTGCTGTTGTGGAAAATATTTAACCTTTCACGAGTTGTAAAACTAGTAATAACACATGCCTGCAATCAGTTACACCCCTCTCCTATTGAGACACATGATTGTCTCATCTAAATCAATCTGAATCCATCTGGTTTATGTTTCACCTCCCTGAGAATGAAAGGTACTTCTCTGGGCATGCAATCTCCTCCATTAGGAGGAATCCACAATTTTGAAGTATGTTGTTAAATGGTCAATTGTGATAGATTAGCTGGACAATAGGAGAAGGGATAATGAAAGATAAACAAATGCCAGAAGAACATTTGTCTGCCAGGAAAGATGTAAATCTAAGAGTGTTTTACAATGCAGTTACTCTACTTCTAAAAGAATCTTAAGGTATAAGAAGAGTTACTTTCGTCTATATGTTTTGTAACTTTCCTCACATATCTATCTTGTGTGTATGCGAGGAGAGGTCTTTCCCTTTTATTGATCAATAGAAGTTAGATTTTGTTCTTCAAAGCCTTTGCTTAAGTTCATTTTTGGCACATCGTGATCTTAAGTTATAGCCGAACTTTATACTAGTTTGCATCATGCAATCAAAGATTTTGTTGTATTCCACAAAACAAAGACCCTTAAGTCTCACCATTGTTAGAATTGTGTTACGCAGTCTCCACTGCCTTTTCTGAAACTGGTTTCTGTATCATTTCTCATTCCTTGTATTTATGGCCCTGTGCTGAAATGGCCATAACTTTGGGGACCGACATAAGTCCCATTTGTTCAATGCTGCTATAAATTGCTGAATGAAAGGTCATAACTCAAGGACTACCTGAATATGGTTAATATCCACCAGAGTGTTGGAGGTATATTTCCTCTCCCCCCTCCATTTCCTTTTCATTGTTTATTATTTTAAGAGATAATTTTAATTTTTTTTCTGTATACTTTATACAAGATACAGTGGCTGTTGTACTTCTGAAAAATCCCTGAATAGTGCAGGTAATTGTTTTCTACTTTATCCTGTAGCAGCTTTCCCTGAGAAGCAAGCAGCCAGGAGCAGTGATAATGGCAGACCCACACTAGACAAGAAAAATATGCTGAGGACATATAATAATAAATTATGAAACTTGTATGCTGCACAAATCTCAATGATTCTGGCCATTATATCTGATACAGTCTCTACAACAGGGGTGTCAAGCTCAAGGCCTGCCGGCCAGATCCAGCCAGTGGGGTGCTTAAATCTGGCTCATGGGGCCACCCTGGAAACAGTGAAGGATTGGCCCACAGTGCCTCTGCCAGTGAAAATGGAGCTCAGGAGGGCCGCATGCAGTTCTCCCGAACTCCATTTTCACTAGCAGAGGGTTGCAGAAGGCTATCATGGCCGAAAACGGTGTTTGGGAGTCCGTTTTTGCTGGCAAAGTGGTTGGGCTACCACACGCGCTCCCGACATAGGTGAGCTCAAGCTGGCCACGCCAATCCTGGCCACACACACTCTGCTTCTCAAGGTCAAACACAACTCTGATGCAGCCCTCAATGAAATTGAGTTTGACACCGCTGCTCTAAATATACTATAGATTGTTTTATTTACCCCTTTTTTTTTCTTAGTTCTATTTCTTTTTTCCATTTCCTTTATTTATTCACTACTAGGTTTTTAAATAATATAACCACTATTTTATTTTGTTGGTAATGGTAGTGGTAACGTAGTAGTTTATATTTCACTAATAATAAAAATTGTATCAAAATCTAAACCTGGAAATCTAGAATATAGCTTGTGTTTCACGACTTCTTCCTAAACACCTATTTTTAAAGATGCCTTTCTCACAAAGATTTCTATTGATTTCCTTGGCTTTAAAAAAAAAAGGGGGGGGGGATGGAGGACATGAAATGAAACTATGAATCAAGAAGAAGCCAGTCTTTGTACACCAGACCACACCAGAGAAAAGAAACTTATCCTACATTCCTAGAAACACACTGCAAGCTGTATTGCTGTCATAAAACTACCTAAATATCTGCACAGCTGCAATTTCTTGGGTACAGTAGTTACTACTGACAAATTGGGATGTGCGCTTTCAACTATAAGCAGTAGATAGTTGGGTTTATATGCTGCTGTAATCAACAAAGATTCCGGGTGGCTTACAAAACCCTCTCCAAGTAGAATTCTAAAGATATTTATTTTTTATTTATTTTATTTTGTCAAGCAATTATTAGATAAAAGTATAAATATAAACATGGTTATGAATACACAAAATGGATACATATAAGAAAAATAAAAGAAACAATAGGACAGGGACGGTAGGCACGTTGGTGCGCTTATGCACGCCCCCTACAGACCTCTTAGGAAAGGGGTGAGGTCAATAGAAGACAGTCTAAGATTAAAGTTTTGGGGGTTTGGGGAAGAAACCACAGAGTATTCCAGACATAAACATTAAATAAAAAATCCAAGCTAACACGATTGCAATAAACTTCCTAAAGTAATCAATTGTTAAACATGATAGGCAGGTGGTTGCCTCATTCATGATTCCAGTATTAAACGTCGTTTTGAGACTTGACTTACAAATCAAATCTATTGAGCAAACTTTCCCACACCACTAACCTCCAAGTCACAAGGGTCTTCAAACTTGACAAGCTTTAAGACGCGTGGACTTCAACTCCCAGAATTCCTAAGCTAACATGACTGGAGGAGGAATTCTGGGAGTTGAAGTCCACGCGTCTTAAAGCTGTCGTGCTTGAAGACACACACCCACCCACCCCCGCTCCAAGAGAACTGGAGAATTCTACGTTTTCTAGAATGATTCGTGCTGTGAATTGTGGGAAAGGTAAAACGAAAACGTCTGATGGGAGCAATATTGGGAGGAAGGAACTTGCTGGAACATTGGTCGCCTTCGTAAGGTTCCTCCGTGGCGGGCGAAACTAGCCAAATTGCAGCCACTCCCCCTCCCCTTTCAGAGCAAAGGGAAACGGGCGTCTGGAAACTAAAGCTCCCACTGAGAATAGAAACCGAAAGTGCAGCCGGAGAATCGCCCAGCTTTCGCCCGGCCAAGTGACAGGATCAAGATCGAGGAGTGAAAGGAACAGCCGGCTGTGTTTCCCGGAGGGCGAAGTTGTAAGTTTGGGAAGCCGGGACGCCGCGCATAGACGGAATCGTTGCCCTTTCCCGAGCGGTTCCCCGCCGGCGGCTACAGCAGCAGCAGCATGGAAGCGGCCGCCAGTCCATCCCCCGCCGGCGGCTACAGCAGCACCAGCACCACCACCACCACCACCACCATGGAAGCGGCCGCCAGCCCATCCCGGGACGAGTGCATCCTCTACTTGATCTCTTGCTTTAGGACCAGGATCAAGAACAACGTCCGAGTGCATCAAGTGCTGGATTTGATGCCGTCCCTCAGCCTCGACCAAAAACGTCAGCTCCACGCCGTGGCTGCAGAAAAAGGGGACGTGGAAGCCGCGGAGAAGCTGCTCTCCCTGGTGGAGAAGGGGGCTCCCGACTCGCCGGGCTTATGCCAGGAGTTCTGCGAGGCGCTGGTGAAGGGAGGCTACGCCGCCGCCGATTACCTGGATCCCAGCCTGAATGAACTGCCCTCGCCTTCTTTGGAAGCGGCCGGCGACCTGGGCAAGGCTCTGGTGAACCTGTTCTTCGATCACCTCACCGACACGCTACAGGCCACTCAGGTGGCTCTCCGGTGTTTGGGAAAGGGGCTGTTAAATCTCGAAGATGTGGAGCGGGTAAGCCGGAACAGAGCAAGGGCGGCAGCAGGGAGCCAAACCGGGTCCTTTCTTTAAAACTAGGTGTGGGGGCAGGGGGTTGCAGCGAAATGGGGCGAGAGAGATCCGGAAAGAAGAGGGCTCTCCAAGGTATTTGGAATGAATCCCCGGAATTCCTTATAGGCCTTATACCAGACCTGGATTTCTGAAACCTCAACAACTTTAAAATGTGTGGACTTGGACTCTCTGAATTCCCCCATGCACCTTACAATTGTTGAGATTGTGGAAAGCTGTAGGGAAGACCATATGGGAGATCAAACCCATCCTAAATGTAAAATCTGAATT